TCTATATTCTAAACCTCTTAAAATAACAACAAACTTATGTCACCAGTACTTCCAGCAGTATGAAGATAGGTTATACTGTATACCAATAAGTGTTTACAAGACTCTCTATGTTGGTATTGTTTGTAAGCCTCATCAAGCATAGACTACATCCATACATCCATCACTCTTATAATACTTTAAACTGTAAGCATTTCATTATAAGCGTTTATATATCAACATCCATTTAATCAAAAACAAAAAAGTTTTAAATGGAAAGTAGGAGTCAATCATATTAATAACTATGATTGAAAAGCTGGTATTCATTCAAAGTCTAGGTCAACAAATATCTAAGTTCATATCTTCAATTGAATTACTGCACATGTAAAAGTCACTTGTTGACAAACCAAATGTGAAGAAGTTCTGGGTGGTTACGGAGTCAATGGTTGTTGTGCAAGTCTCTGGATGCTAAGGAAAAATATTAATGATGTGAAGTGACTTGTTTCATTGGAAAGTCAATAGTAACTATTGAAATATACAGTTGCTAAGGAAAGATATGTTTGCTAAAGAAAGTGAATTGTTGCTATGAAAAGTCAAAAGTTGCTATGAAAAGTCATAAGTTGCTATGAAAAGTCAAAAGTTGCTATGAAAAGTCAAAAGTTGCTATGAAAAGTCAATGGATCATGAGGAGCATCTGTGACCGAGTGGTTAAGGTCTTGTTAACCTCAAACCACTTTTCACTGTTGTAGGTTCGATTCGCGCAAGCCTCTACAGATTCTTCCATGCGAAAAAGCTATAATGCTAGCTTACGCAATGCAGTTGGTTATACTCAGGTGCCTGTTTGTGCCTAAGATAATACGCATATGGTCACCAGAGGTTATTCTCCATCAGTATAGCTGCAAAGTCGCTGTAATACCACTGTTTTGGTGCTACGTAATAACACCTAGGGTTGCTATAAAATGTTACTGGTTGCTATGGGTGGTCATTTGTTGTTTTGTGAGACAGTGGTTGCTACTGTCACTCACTGAATCTATTGAGGTCGTTTTTTGCGAAGGAAATTAAGTTGTTGCTATATAATTTACTGATTGCTTTGAAACATCAATGATTCGTACAGAAAGTAAATTGTTACTATTATTACCAAATTGGGGATTAATTGATTCGTATATGCTAATTGTTGTTATTTGAATTAATTGCTGCTTTTGAAATAAATTGGTTGCTACGGAAAGTTGTGTTGCTATGAAAATTTCTCAATCATACTGTAAGTCAAAGGTCCCTTTGAAAAGTTACAGGTTGCTATGAAAAGTCAGTGATGCTATGGAAGTCAATACTAGTAATTGCTAAGGAAAGTCATTGGTTGCTATTGAAAGTAACTGTTTTCTATTAAAAGTCACTGGTTGCTACTGGAGTTTGTTTGTTTTGGTTTTACGTCACACCGACACAGTATAGGTCATATATCGACGTTCCAGCTATACAGGTGGAGAAAGACCTCAAATGCCCTTCCTTCCATGCATTATATCAGGCACCAATGGGGACCTGGGTGGAACCGTAATCTTTTGCTATTGGAGCCAATGGTCGTCAGATAGAGTAGCCAATTATGACTTCAAGGCTTAAATATGGAAAAAACTTGGCAGTGGTCAACTAGACAATTGTTTATGCCAAATATCAAAGCTTTTGTCTGTAAGATTATTAGAGTAAAATGTTTTTATGTTACAAATACTAGTATAAGGAAAAACAAGACAACCGCGTAGGGGCTTACTTTTTTTCCCGAGGCTATAATTTGGACAAACTTGGTAGTTATCAAAGATATCAGTTGTAGCCTTTGAAGATTCAAGGGAGAAGGAAACCGCTTGATTCCAGGGGAAGGGAGAGCTTAAACCCAAGGGCTGTAACTTGAGCAATCTTGGCAGAGGCCCACTGGACAATCTTTCACGCAAGGTATTTAAGATTCTGTCTTTTATAGTTTTAGAATTGAAGACTTTCTTTCGGTTATAATTAAAACAACAAGATTTCTGCCTGAAAATAAACTTCTTTGAACAACTTTGAATGAGCTTCCTTTCTGGATTATAATACCCCCGACAAACGAAGTTTTTGGCAGCTGGTGGCCAGTCGGTCGGTTGGTTGGTCCGTTGCAGATTGCTTGTCTGGGACACAACTCAGAATGTGCAAGAGATATCAGCTTCACATCTTGTAGATAGAAATATAGACTTGAATGAGTATAAGTGCGGTGCATAAGAACCGTAACTCCCTTCCCTTTGGAGTTATTGCCCTTAGTTCATTTTTACATATTGAAAATTTGTCCGGACATAACTTGAGAACTATAAAGAGTATCAACTTGAAACTTTTTGGGTGATAGATCTGAATGAGTAGAAGTGCAGTGCAGAAGAACCGAAAACATCAAATCCAAACTGTAATCCATCTTATTGGTGTAGGACAAATAATTCAAAAAAAATAAACACATCTATAAACTACAGCATTTTCACTATGTGCAAAGTTTGAGCTAAAAGCATGTTTTCTGAAAAGCGCGTGTCGGGGGTATTCTGAACTTGTGACAAGCTCTTGTTTCTGCCACAAGTTAAAACAACATTTTAGCAGCAGGTTAGGAAGAGTTGTTGTCCGTAAAACGGCCACAGCCCTACAGCAATATGTAACCTCGAACACGTTTTGCTCAGGTGAGCAAAATCTGCTTTATAGTCTTACTTTACGAAAATCAATTGTAGATCTTAGGTCATTGCCCTACTTTTACTTCTTTTGAGAATACCTTAGTTGTCCCGTACGGTCCTACTAAACACTGCTAAGGACTGCTAAGGACCGCTAAGGACTGCTAAGGACTGCTAAGGAGCCGCAAAGGACGACTAAAGAGGCACAAAGGACCTTAAAATACCTCCTAGGCCATTCTTATATTACATGGTTTTATTTTTAGTGAAAAAAAATTATAATTTTAAGAAAAATATGATTTTGGTGAAAATTTTATGAGTTGTCGGACCGCTAAGGACTGCTCAGATACACAAAAGACTGCTAGGGAGGCACAAAGGACCTTAAAATACCTCCTAGGGCATTCTTATAATACAAGGTAGTATGTTTAGTGACATAAAATGTATTATTTTAAGAAAAAATATCATTTTAGTGATAAAATTTATGTTTTTGAAGAGTCGTCGGACCGCTAAGGACTGCTCAGGTGCACTAACAACTGCTAGGGAGGCACAAAGAACCTTCAAATCCCTCCTAAAACATTCTTATACTATATGGTAGTAAGTTAATAGACAAAAATGTATTATTGTAAGAAAAAAATATAATTTTGGTTATAGAATTTATGCTTTCGATGAGTTGCCGGACCGCTAAGGACTGCTCAGGTGCGAAAAGGACTGCTAGGCAGGCACAAAGACCTATAAATATTTCCTAGGGAGGCACAAAGGACCTTAAAATAACTGTTGGGGCATTCTTATAATTCATGGTAGTATGTTTAGTGACAAAAAATGTATAATTTTAAGAAAAAATATCATTTTAGTGATAAAATTCATGTTTTTGAAGAGTTGTCGGACCGCTAAGGACTGCTCAGGTGCACTAACAACTGCTAGGGAGGCACAAAGGACCTTCAAATCCCTCCTAGAACATTCTTATAATATATAGTAGTAAGTTAACAGACAAAAATGTATTATTGTAAGAAAAAAATATAATTTTGGTTATAGAATTTATGCTTTCGATGAGTTGCAGGACCGCTAAGGACTGCTCGGGTGCGAAAAGGACTGCTACCTGTACGAAATTTTGGCACGGATTCTGGGCGGAATTGGCACGGAATTGACACGGAATCAGTGATTTCTGGGCGGACCAGGAACGGAAACGCAAATTCCGTGTCATTCCGTCTCACAAGAAAAATATTTTGTTCACTTTTCTGGGCGGAAAACTAGAAAAATTCCGGCTGGAATTTTATTTGGAGCAGAATTTATACTTAAACATTTCATCTTGGACAGAATTTTCAACTTTGAAATTTTCTTGGGAAGGAATGGTCTTCACTATGGGCGGAATTCTATACTTAAACATTTTTCTTGAACAGAATTTCACATATAAGATGTCTAAATCATAATTGTTAACTCTTGTTTTTGCACTTGCAGACATTGAAATTTTACCAACTGTACTTATTATTTTTGTTGAAGCAATTGATACTTGACCAATAATTACAGGTGTATTTTTAGAATAAATAGGGTTATTTTTTAGACATTAAAATATGCCTAAACAATGTTTTTAAATATTGTGGCAAATGATATATTGTCAGACTAATTTAGCAAATCTTTTTTGTACTGAAAAACAACTGTAATAATCTTAGTGTAGAACTTGAAAACATTCACCTCCAAAATGCTTAAGTTTATAAAATTAGCAACATTGAAATAAGAATGCTGTTTAAATTTGAGTATCAGGACTGTCACAGGACAAGATAGTGTGCTTGCCATTTTAAACTCTAAGAAATCATGATTTTGTTATAAAAAATAAACAAAAACAAAACATTAAAAAGTGCATGAAATAATCTCATATATTATGCCCTTTTAATCTATATAGAATTGATCAGCCAATATGCCCAATAATTGCTTTCATTTAGGTAAATAAATACTACAATATAATTATATCCACTGAGATTTTACACTACACAGATCAGAGCTCTGATAAAACTCAACTGACCAGCAGTTTCCCACCATCTTAAACTCTTTGCATGACTAATTTACTCCACTGGTCATTCCAACAGATCAGGCTGTTCCATTGAATTATTTTGGGGAGAGATAACATTATAAATTTCATATGCAGAATTTGTCTAGGACATTGTAATTTTTTTTTTTGTTCAGAAATATGTAATGATTTTTAAATTCTAAATATATATCTATTTGTTACTTGAATTTTTGTTACATTCAATGAATGGGAGTTGGGATGATGAGTAAATTAACCCTGTTTTACATAATGATTGACCTGTCCATGCAGTTATACAGTTGTGAATTTTGAATTCTAAGATATCTGGGTCAGCAAAAAGAGTGCAAATAACAGAGGATGTCTACTTGATATTTTAACAATTTTGGAGATATACTTTTGTTTAAGATCTCAAAGTGTTTTAGTATTGGTATGATAAATAAGTGTGAAAACATGGGACAAGGAGATGAACAACATAATCAGGTAATTATAAACCTTTAGTTACATTAATGCTGAAACAAATTTTATATCAAACTATCAATGGTAGCAAACTAAAATTTGTAACACTGAGGTCAATGTTGTATATTTTCAACTTCATACATTTGTTTTTTTCTGATAATTGTTTTAAATCTTTATTACATGTTTAATGACTGTAAAATATAAATTATTCAATGATTCTATATAATGATTGTGTGTATTGTATGAATTAATAGCAAGTAGTAGATCTTTTTCATTTCCTGGAAATTAAACAAATTAAGACAATTTGATTAAATAGGAATAAATGGTACAAATTCAGAAGTTTTGTACAGCTGAACAGGGTCATCATAATCATTTATTATTTTACATGTATGTGTTGTGTTTCCAATGGAACAATCTAAAATTACATTTTACACTCATATTTTCAGACTGGGAGTTAAGTGCTGACTGTGAGATGCAAGGTGTTTCAATAAAGATGTGCAGTATTAATCCTGAAAAGGTATGTTTTTAAATCTCAATACTTTACTATTCAACATCTTTCTTTGAAAAAATACATAACCAGTAATAAATAGTGTCACAAATAAAGCAGTTAATTAATTCTTATACAGAGCAATTCTTAAACACTTGTGCACTGAAATAAGATACTGCGTAAGCTTTAGTATTTTTGAATATTCATAAGCACTGTTAATATTTAATACTGTTGAAACATAAAATGTGATATTATCAAAAAATATGAAATATAACTGCATATAATTATGCAATCAAACATAATTCATTACTACATTTTTGTTTAATTAATTATTAATTTTATTATTAAAGGTGAGCACAACCACAAGAAGTTCTTGGAAACACAGGCAGTGGACTTAAAACAGACATCAATTAAAGAAATAGTAATTTAAATAATCAGAAACATTTGAAACAAATTTATGATTGAAACACTCTCAGCAAAAAAATTGCAAAAAAACAAAGTGTTGGATTCTAAGAAAACCAGTAACTACCAAAACCTGCAGGTAGAAAAAAACTGTTTGTGTTATAGTGAATGTATGGTATTCTATTCTGTATTTGGACTAAAGGATATGTATTAAATTTTGTGAAAGAAAATTTAATGTGATACATTATTGATAATTTTATCCCAAAAAAATGTGATCATGTTAAACTCTGATACATTATTGATAATTTTATCCCAAAAAAATGTGATCATGTTAAACTCATAAAAATTCCGCCCCCATGAATTCTGTCCCAGAATTCCGCCCAGAATTTTGTTTGACAATTCCGTTCCAAAATTCCGTTCCGAAATTCCGCCCCGAGATTCCGCTTCAAAATTCCGCCCCGAGATTCCGCTTCAAAATTCCGCCCCAAGATTCCGCTTCAAAATTCCGCCCCAACTCATTTGCATATTTCGTCCCAATTCCGCCCGGAATCCGTCCCGTTTCCGCCTGGAATCCGGCCGGAATCCGTGCCAAAAGCAAATGGTTTAACACTTGTATATTTGGGGGAGAATTTAAATTTCTGGGCGGAATCTGCCATTGAATTCCGCCTCATTTCCGTGCAGAAAATTTCGTACAGGTAGGGACCTTAAAATATTTCCTAAGGAGGCACAAAGGACCTTAAAATACCAGTAAGGGCATTCTTATAATACATGGTAGTATGTTTAGTGATAAAAAATGTATAATTTTAAGGAAATATATCATTATAGTGATAAAATTCATGTTTTTGAAGAGTTGTCGGACCGCTAAGGACTGCTCAGGTGCACTAACAACTGCTAGGGAGGCACAACTAAAAGGACCTTCAATTCCCTACTAGAACATTCTTATAATATATGGTAGTAAGTTAAAAGACAAAAATGTATTATTGTAAGAAAAAAATATGATTTTGGTGATAGAATTTATGCTTTTGATGAGTTGCAGGACCGCTAAGGACTGCTCAGGTCAGAAAAGGACTGCTAGGGACCTTAAAATATTTCCTAGGGAGGCACAAAGGACCTTAAAATACCTGTAAGGGCATTCTTATAATACATGGTAGTATGTTTAGTGATAAAAAATGTATAATTTTAAGGAATAATATCATTATAGTGATAAAATTCATGTTTTTGAAGAGTTGTCGGACCGCTAAGGACTGCTCAGGTGCACTAACAACTGCTAGGGAGGCACAAAGAACCTTCAAATCTCTCCTAGAACATTCTTATAATATATGGTAGTAAGTTAATAGACAAAAATGTATTATTGTAAGAAAAAAATATAATTTTGGTTATAGAATTTATGCTTTCGATGAGTTGCAGGACCGCTAAGGACTGCTCAGGTACGAAAAGGACTGCTAGGGACCTTAAAATATTTCCTAGGGAGGCACAAAGGACCTTAAAATACCTGTAAGGGCATTCTAATAATACATGGTAGTATGTTTAGTGATAAAAAATGTATAATTTTAAGAAAAAATATCATTTTAGTGATAAAATTCATGTTTTTGAAGAGTTGTCGGACCGCTAAGGACTGCTCAGGTGCACTAACAACTGCTAGGGAGGCACAAAGGACCTTCAAATCCCTCCTAGAACATTCTTATAATATATGGTAGTAAGTTAATAGACAAAAATGTATTATTGTAAGAAAAAAATATAATTTTGGTGATAGAATTTATGCTTTCGATGAGTTGCAGGACCGCTAAGGACTGCTCAGGTGCGAAAAGGACTGCTAGGCAGGCACAAAGACCTATAAATATTTCCTAGGGAGGCACAAAGGACCTTAAATTACTTCCTAGGGCATTCTTATAATATATGGTAGTATATTTAGTGAGAAAAAATGTATAATTTTAAGAAAAAATATAATTGTGGTGATAGAATTTATGTTTTCGATGAGTTGTCGGACCGCTAAGGACTGCTCAGGTGCACTAACAACTGTTAGGGAGGCACAAAGGACCTTCAAATCCCTCCTAGAACATTCTTATAATATATGGTAGTAAGTTAATAGACAAAAATGTATTATTGTAAGAAAAAAATATAATTTTGGTGATAGAATTTATGCTTTCGATGAGTTGCAGGACCGCTAAGGACTGCTCAGGTGCGAAAAGGACTGCTAGGCAGGCACAAAGACCCGTCCAAAAGTAACAAGAACTTTTACACCAAGGAAGTGAACGTGTGTAATGATTCTGTTGGAAACAACAGACATCTTGTTCTGTCGAGCAGCACACTTTCACAACCTTTAAAGGAAATAAAAACCAATATGACTTAGATCATTGAAATAGTACTTGTGAAATCTTATTTGTATATAACTTATTTATCTCTATATTTATGTATTTGTAAATAAGTAGACATAGAAACATTAGGTCCTGCTGAGAGTGCACATTGCCTGCTGCACAGTAAATGGGCAAATTATTTCGGAACAAACAACATATAATGCAGGCTTTTTTTTAAAAAATATATGGGCCGCGTCACGACAAAACCAACATAGTGGGTTTGCGACCAGCATGGATCCAGACCGGCCTGAGTATCCGCGCAGTCTGATCAGGATCCATGCTGCTCGCTTACAAACCCTATAACAAGTAGAGAAACTGATAGCGAACAGCATGGATCCTGATCAGACTGCGCGGATGCACAGGCTGGTCTTGATCCATACTGGTTGCAAACCCATTATGTTGGTTTTGTCGTGACGCGGCTCATATTGCATTTGCAATTACTTTGTTAGGTTTTCCCAAATGCCAAACTTAATTAATACATTAATTGTGCCTTAAAGTTTTTTATAATAGCATGACTCAAAATATAGAAACAGACATTGTTATACCCTAAAATTGCCCAATTTTATATGTAATGTAATACATAAGCATCTTTTTTGGGTTTTTTTTTGGGGTTTTTTTTGGTTTTTTTTTTTGGTGATAGTGGAGTAACCACCACTATTATCTGTTTCATTTTCTTACTTAATTATTTTTACATGCACATAGAAAATGTAATGACCTTTCCGATGATATATATCACTTGGTATAGGTAATCCTATATATAATATATTTAAAATAAAATGTGATGAAAAAAACTAAAACACCCCCTCACCCCACATAAAGTATCCAATTGTGAAACAAATGCGCATTACGCATGACAAAACCATGTTACTGGTGCTTATTGATAGTCTAACAATGAAAATGTTACAAAAATTGCCATTTTCTCCGGCAATTATGTAACAGTTGTCTGTAACATCCGTCCCTATCATCAGTATTAAATATATATGAGCTGCGTCACGACAAAATCAACATAGTGCGTTTGTGACCAGCATGGATCCAGACCAGCCTGCGGATCCGCGCAGTCTGATCAGGATCCATGCTGTTCGCTATCAATTTCTCTACTTGTAATAGGGTTTGTAAGCGAACAGCATGGATCCTGATCAGACTGCGCGGTCGCAAAGCCATTATGTTGGTTTTGTCATGACACGGCTCATATGGTGCTTACTTAATATCACAAAGGGAGTTTTTACCCTAAATCTCCAAAGCAACCGATATTATTTTTTTCTACGAAAATTATTTACATAACATAGATTATATGTTACTCTAACCTTCAGTGGACCAACAATTTATCAACATAATATTAAAGCTTAAATGAATTTCGGACACATATATAGAGGATATTGAATGAGTGTAGTTTAATACTAAATTTATTGAAAGAGTTGAATAAAATCATATTATGCGAGCCTCTGGCGAGCATAATACTGTTTTATGCAACGAGTTCAATAAATTTAGAATTGAATCTACACAAATATAATATTCTATTTATCACATATACAAAATAAGAACAGTGAACAGTTAAAATGAGTAATTCTACAATGACGCGCCCATAGTGTAACGCTATGTTTATATATAGCGCAAATGACGTCATGTCAAAGTGTTATTACACAAGTGTAATATCGTTTTTATTAAATGGCTTTATAACACTCCCGCGCCGAGGTTTATGTGATAAAAATATATATATATAAATTTTTTTTTTTAAGGAACTGAAGTGGACAGATGTAACAGAAATGAGCAAATGATGCTTTTTACAATAACACTAAAATTATCTTGTTCGATATGGAAGTAGTTAGCTTTGCAACTGTACATAGAAATATTTCACACTAAAATTAAATAGTCTAAGAATAATCATAACAGAATAATCTTATCAGGCTATATATTCACAGAAAACTATTAAAGTAGGATATATAGAATGTTGAAGTGACATTGTGGTTAAAATTAATCAATGGTTAAAACATAGATTCTTTAAGATCATTCTTTTTACTTCAATAAAAAACAAATCATCTATCCCAGCCCCTCATAAAACAGTGGGATAAGGATCCTAACTATATACATACAGATGGGGCTGGCACATTATTGGAAGTTAACAAGCTGTATATTGGGAGCTGTGTATTGTATATTGGGATGTGTGATATATTACAAACCAGTGGGGGTGCCAATATAGGGTGATATACTTCAAAACAGTGGGAGGGACTTTCTGTTAGAGAATGCCTATTAAGTAGGCTGTAGATCAATTAAGTCTAAGGATCTATTGAACATCATTTTTTTATTGGCCAAATATATAGTCAATGAAAAAAAACAACCCAAAAAACAAATATATTTCACCACCCTGAATAAAGTATTTGTCTCCATATTCCAGCACATTGTCATATCACTTGACCAATATAATTATTATAAGAAATGGAAGAAGATCATAAGAAAAAGGATTTTAATATATGGTTATGACCCCAGTAATGAAAAAGTGATAATAATTAAAATTTGTTTGTAAACAAAGTCCTAAACAAATATTTTGACTCTATAAATTTTAATGAATGATCAGCTGTCCATTTATACTGAAACATTAACATAGAGAACTATCAATACTGGGAAATAATGAACTTATAACACTGAATCATAATAAAATCTTCATATAATAATGTTACTGACATTTCACATAAATAAAAATAAAATTTCATCAATTGGTAGTAATAAATTACAACATTTTAAAAGCAGATCTGTAAATTTTTTATTTGTTGGTATTTACAATTTTAGTAAATAGAAATTCAAGCTTATGACAACTTATAATTTACTTCAGCCTGTATAATATCTATTAAAAACATAAATCTGATTATATCACTATATAATTATTGTTTTGTAAATATATATAGAAAGTTACTGTCTGTATGATAATTTTCTTTAACACAATGGTAATACATTATCTGGAAATAAAGAATCTTCCTTTCATTATCAATGTTCTTATTTAATTCAGAACAGTTCATTCAAATGTCTATGCAACTTTTTGAAATACAAAAAGAAAGGAACTCCTTGATCAAGGAGCTTGATTCTATGTATTTTTGCTGAAATTTGTTCTATTTGTTTACATTAATTGAACATTATGTACTATTTAAAGCAAATAAAGCTATTATCATTATATTAAAACCAAAATCCCAGGGACTATGAGATTTGAACATCTAGTGTAACATTTCCCCCAAAAATGTAACAAACGCCTCCCTGCGGCGTGTAATTTCTGGGTTTTCTAACAAAAAATGATTAGAAAGTCATAGAATTTTTGATGTTTTTTTTTAGGAAATGTGTTTGCATATTTGATTTAAGAA